AGTTGATAATGTCAGTGTTTAGGATGAAAGTATTACCACCAAAATGTCAGGGTTGGGAACAGTAGTAGTAGTATTCAAATACGAATTCAAACACTTTATTCCATTAATTACAATGAGTATTCTATTAACATATAATGTGTTTACACTATGTAATAAGATGCTATGACCAAAAATATTATACAGTGCTTGTGAAACAAAATTACACAGAACACTATCATGTGATGGAAATATCGTGTTCGGCTTCATTTTTAAGGCGCCTGTTGTTATTGATATTTCAGATGGTCTTTCACTTTTGTTTTAAATGTATTTTGGTTTGATTTTTTTTCTCTAATATATCACCAGTCGTCGGATTTGCATATTTCTCGCCCCAGTTTCTGTATTCGATCTTTTGCCTTGTTTGGACACCCGTTGTGATACCTGTTGTCTATAATAGCCAATTTGAATAATTTCCTTGTAAGCATAGGGATTAGAACACATGTGGCATGGTTGTATTCCTGTTGTTCTTTTAGCCATTTTTGTTTGTTGATATGTGGTGTGATGTGGTCACATTTACTTGTATTTCCTAGTGCTACTCTCGCTGCAAAATTCTTTAGTTTGTGTCCCTTGTATTTGTTTATATTTGTGGAGCACCAGATCCTTAGGCAGTAATGAATTATACTAAGTGCTAGTGTTTATACAGCAATTCTTGTTTCTGTAGCAGTAGTATTAGTAGTAGTAGTAAAAAGTAGTAAAGTAGTAAGTAGTAGAAGTATTATAGTGTAGTGTAGTAGTAGTAGTAGTAGTAGTAGAAGAAGTATTAGTGGTGGTAGTAGTAGTAGTAGTAGAGTTAATGGTAGTAGTTAGTAGTAGTAGTAGTAGTAGTAGTAGTAGTAGTAGCAGTAGTAGTAGTAGTAGTAGTAGTAGTAGTAGTAGTAGTAGTAGTAGTAGTAGTAGCAGTAGTAGTAGTAGTATAGTAGTTGTAGCATTAAAAGTAGAAGTATAGTAGTAGTAGTAGTAGTGGTAGAAGTAGTGGTAGTGTAGTAGTAGTAGTAGTAGTAGTATAGTAGTAGTTAGTATAGTAGTAGTAGTAGCAGTACAGTAGAGTATGTAGTAATATAGTAGTAGTAGTATAATAGTTAATAGTAGTAGTATAGTAGTAGTAGTAGAAGAAGTAGTAATAGAGTAGTAGTAGCACAAGTTGTTGATGATGATTTAATAATAATAAGAATTATTATTATTATTATAATAACGATAATGATAATAATCTTTATTTCGTATAAAGTCATATAGAGATATAATTTTACTCACAGCTTCAATAATTAAAAGTCACAGAGAGCAGTTGTGTCCTTAGAAGAGTCACGAAAGACAAAGATAATGGTAATGGTAGGAGTAATCTTTGTAATAATAATAATAGTGGTGGTGGTGATGATGACGATGATGGTGATGAGGATAACGGTGATGGTGATGGTGATGATAATGATGAAGATGATGTGATGATAATGATAATGTCAATAACTACAACTACTACTACTGATAATAATAATAAAAATGGTAATAGCAGTAAAAATAATGATGTCATCGAAGATAATGATGAAATAATGATAGCAATGATGGTAAAAACAACAGCTGTGATCAAAACGATTATTTTGGTAATTATTGTGCTAACAACAATAATGGTTATGGCTGATATAATGCTGATACTTAGGTTATTAATATTAATGAAAATGATAATATTGATAGTAGAGGTAAGTACGACAATTATCCTAATATTTTTTAATCACATCATTATTAGAATTCCTATCATTGTGTTAATTGTTATCATTATCTATATATTGATGGGTATGTATCATCTATTCAACTCACGTATAAGTTTGAGAGATCAGAATTTTTCTACTAAAAGAGTACACTTAATGCAAAGTCGATAAAGTTAATATATAGAGGATTTTAGCGTGTCTCCATGTAAGTCACCTGCACTTGCAGTAGGTTTATGATAGTTGCAAAGGTAAGGTAGGTCTAAGGTAGATATATGCTTTGTGTGATGTACGGGGTTGCTAACGTCATGCAGTGAGAGTATAAACACACTAGTTTCATACTGTAATTATAGTCCTGCGTTTTAGCTTGTTCGCATTGCCTCCTTATCATACTTAGTTTTACACAACCCTTTCGCATTGGTTTTATGGCATCCGTCCCCTGGACAAACAACGCAGACTACTCCAACATGTTATTTAAATGTGCATTTTCCCTCCTTCGCCACTTCTGTCGTGTGGTTGTTGAAAAAAATAGAACCTATGTCTCGAATGACAGGCGAGGAATCAGCATGACCACAGAAGCTAACGAAGACGACATAGCGGACCGGATGGACTGGTACAACCAAATCACGTTCTTCATCATGGAAGCCGTCATTAGGAACATAAAGGATGTGAACGTCTCCAACGTGTGGAAGTAAGTGTTGACAAGTGCCGGTGGTGATGGTGTAGGGTGACCGCCATGTCCGCAAAGGATGCGAATGCGAGGCTAGACCTATGATTTCGGTTGGAGTTAAGTCATTAATGGTAGATAGTTGTTGATATCTTTACTCCAATCAACGCTGATTCATGATGTAAGAATTTGTACCAAGTTGCAACAAGAGAAATTTACAAAAAAGTAAGTGAAGTGCAGAAGTTACGGTTAATAAATAATTTACAAACACCGCATTCGCATGGTGTAAGGTATTGGCGGTTAGGTTAGCGCAGGGTGACACTCAGGAACTTTTCTTTGTTGTAGGATTCAAGTGGATGTCTATGTTTTACCTTCCTTTACTCGCCGGATATAGTGGTATAATATTCTCTAGAGCAGGGCTGTCAAACTCACTTGCCCTAGGGAGACACATTTCAGTATGCGGGCGCGACAAATGGCCATATTATTGACGTAAAACTGTAAGAGGCAATTTCATTCATCACAAAAATACGATAAAAGAAAAACAACTGTGTGTAGAAGTGATAATCCTAACCGAAGGACTGGCTTAATCATGTAAAACGGCCGACTGTAAAAGACCGAAAATAACGAATCAACTGCGGGTTTGACAGTTGGCACTTCTGTTGTAGTGTCCTATATGGTCTTTATGGGTAATGGTTTCTAGAAAACGCTGTTAAGCATTTTATCTCACACGACCGTCAGACGAATATACTTTTCCCATTGTCATCATTTATCGGACATATTTAGAAATTTAGCGTTACTCTTTCCGTGTGGCGTTTCATCTAATATATCAGGTTAGCCAGTATATACGTTAGACATATAGCAAATGATGGAGCCAGGTTTAAATGCTTTTGGTAAAAAGTCTGTCTTTATTAAAAAAAAAAAAAAAAAAAAAAAAAAAACGTCTATAGACAATTCACAGCTTAGCTCTAAGGTAACTTAATAATCCGTCATTATTAAAAAAAGAAAAAAAAAGTTTTTACAGATAACTCACAACTTAACAACCAAGTAACTGTATTTAAAAAAAAGAAAAAAAGTTTCTACAGACAACTCACAACTTCGCTGTCTGGGAACTTAAGAACCCGCCCCCTATTTAACAAAAAACGCCTCTATAGACAGTCCACAACTTGACTACCTGGCGGCTTGTGTAAACTCGCCCAAAACCTCGTGACTGGAGGGACCAAGGGAGAGGATCAGGAATGGCGAAAGCGGATTACTTAATTTCTCATGTAATTAGAAAAGGTTTCGTGCGTTCGACAAAGGCTCCGGATTACATCGTTTATCGGATATTTGATCCTTTTAATTTCCTTGTTAAAATCCTTTCAAAGATGTTAGGTCCAAGCATTATTGATTTTGAGTTGGACGGGGTGGACACGCATGCACGGGTTTACACACGCACACGAACGCACACACACACGCACGCTCGCACGCACCCACACCCACATAAACACAAACAGGGCCGGTTTTAAGCCGATTTGACCGATTTGATCAAATTGGGCCCCGCACCTGAAGGGATCCCGCAATAGCAGGGCCCTTTTTTAGCATATGATTAAAACAATAAAACTTTTCATATTGCTTTTCAAAGGGTCATTATACCAAACATTTAATGTTTATTCGTTTTTTTGTTGTTGATTTGTATGTGTTTTTATATGAAATATAAACATCCATAAATTTTACTATGTAGAATAGGGGACCCCACCTTCAGTTTTCTACTTGGGCCCCGCAATTCCTAGCACCGGCCCTGCACACACGCACACGCACACGCACACACACACGCAACACACCACACACACGCACACGCACACGCACACACACACCGCACACGCACACGCACACAACACACAACACACACACACACACACACACACACACACCACAACACACACACACACACACACACACACGACCCTACCTACCTACCTACCTACCTACCTACCTACCTACCTACCTACCTACCTACCTACCTACCTACCTACCTACCTACCTACCTACCTACCTACCTACCAAGAGAGAAAGGAAGATAAAGGGAGAGAGGGAGAGAGGAAAAAATAGGAATGGAGAGAGAGGAAGAGATAGGGAGGGAGAGAGAGAGGAAGAGATAGGCAGGGAGACAGAGAGGAAGAGATAGGGAGGGAGGGAGAGAGAGGAAGAGATACGGAGGGAGAGAGAGAAGAGAATAGGGAGGGAGAGAGAGGAAGAGATAGGAGGGAGAGAGAAGGAAAAGATTGGGGGAGAGAGAAGAAGAGATAGGGAGGGAGAGAGAGAGGAAAAGATGGGAGAGAGAGAGAGAGAGAAGAGATAGGGAGGGAAGAGAGAGGAAGAGATAAGGAGGGAGAGAGAGAGGAAGAGATTGGGATGGAGAGAGAGGAAGAGATATGGAGGGGGAGAGAGAGAGGAAGAGATAGAGAGGGAGACAGAGAAGAAGAGATAGGGAGAGAGAGAGAGAGGAAGAGAAAGGGATGGAGAGAGAGGAAGTGATAGGGAGGGAGAGAGAGAGGAAGAGATAGGGAGAGAGAGAGAGAGGAAGAGATAGGGAGAGAGAGAGAGAGGAAGAGATAGGGAGAGAG